AAGAAGAATAACTCTAACACTAAGGGTATGCCAGTTACATGTTTCCCTCCCTTGGATGAGACATTCCCTCCGGCTGTTTTTTTTTTTTTTTCCAGAAATTCATAAGTATGTTTATGTGTGTAAGCTAGATTTACTACAACTGAAAATTATTATGAGGCATACAAAGCAGGTCCTGAAACTTCACAAGTTTCATTTCTCGATATAGACTGTCATTGCAAACCGAGCCGACTTACGGGCATGTTTCAGTTCGAATTTCCTCGTATTTCAAATTTCTGGTGCAGGCTACTTGAAATCTGTAATACACAATGTAGCTTAACATTTACAAATATTGCATGCACCCGCCATTCATGGAAACATAAAGGATATTCATGCAAATCTAGATAATTCTACATTGTCCACTGGCATATTTCCCTCAAGATTTTAATTTGAAATTATTTATAACTCCCAAAGGCATAGTCACAAAGTTCGAGGGGTGGGGGTGGGGGGCTCAACTAAGTAAATATTTGACAAGGCAAAAAAAAAAGTCAACCATGACTAAGTAGCATTAGGAGCTTTATCCTACATTCTCGAGATTTATTTACTATTCATTTTTGACCAGAAACATAGGGTGGGAAACAATGAAAGATATATATACAGTACCGACCAGACACAACCTAACACCAGAGCGAACCCAAAGCGGACCCCGGGTTCGCTTTCTGGGTTCGCTCGGGGTCCGCTGCGGGTCCGCTTTCAGAAATTTTGGGTTCGCTCTGGGTTCGCCTTGGGTGCGCTTCGGGTTCGCTCGGGGTCAGCTCTGGGTCCGCTAGAGCGAACCCGGCGTTCGCTTTCTGGGTTCGCTTTACGCACTCATGCGTGAAGCGGACCCCGCTTTAATCTTGCCGCCAGTAAGCCCCGCCCCTTGTATAATTATTCCAAATACAGTAGTGAAATCGATCATTGTTGTTTCTGAGGCGATCGATACATGTGCATGTACAATGGCTGCAACGTTATTGTTGACAACATATAGGAACGATCACGTTACACGAACGATTTCGCAAGATTAATCCTTCAATCACACGATTATTCATGTTACACGATCATTCACGACTGTTAACGCAAACGCACGATTTTTGTACGCAAAATAGTTAAAGATATTTAGGAGTGGATATTTTTAAGACGAAATAAGGCTTAATTTATTTAATAGATATTTTAGATTAGAAATATTTACTGGTGAAATTCATCGACTTTATAAAACTGAAAGAAAAATAAAATATTTAGAAATGAATATTTTTGAAACTACATGTAAATAAGACTTAATAGTCATTTTAGATTACAAATGATTATTTGTGTAAATCTCAGACTTAGGAAAATTGTTGTTTTTTTTTATGTTTTTGACATGTAAACATGTAACTTATGATCAAATGCTGCATTTTCTATAACATGATATACATGTACATGTAGGTTGGTCATGAATTTTGATTCAATTGGATTTTATGATATGCAGTAAGGGGGTAGATTTTTAAAAATGGCCTAAAAATGAATTATACTATAATCATCTTTCCATTTATGAATTTCAAAAATCAGCAATCTGTTTTAAAAAAAATCATTCATTTGCAGAAATGATATATATATATATATAAAAATAATAACAAGTATCAGGGATGAAAAGTAACCCCGACAATCATGTCGTGTACATTTGCCGACTAAATATATGTAAGTATCGGGATTTGTTTTTTTTTTCTTTCTTTCTTTTTTTTTTAATATACATTTTTGATGTATTGATATAAAAATACCATGACTACAATTAGCAGTTAACATGATTAACATCAGAGAAAAATCGTTAAACATCTTAAATACGCTTTATCAGTAAAAGTTACGATATTTTAAGAGAATACAATATTATACGACTTACTATTTTGCCTAGTTAATCCGATAATTAGTTCGTTCAATTATGTAAATCGCGCTTCATTTTTTTCTTTTTATTTCAGTTTAAAAAAAAAAAGCTAAATCAAGCTTTACATTAATTTTTGTAAATGATTAATCAAATTAGTACCATAATGTAGTAGTTTGCGATTGGACATATTTGTACATGCACATTTATGCTGTACATTCATTTTTTTTAATTTTATTTTTAATTAAGAAGATCAATTATTTTGATGTTGATCTGGATTTAAACGAAAATGTACATTAGAATTATAAAAATAAAATAATTGAATAAAAGCACGTACATATAGTATTACATAATCTTGTACAGTATCTTGAGATGATGAAATGCTATAATTTATCAGAAACCATTTTTTTTGTTTTATGTAACAATTGTAATAACCATTGCTTTCTTTTTTATTTCTTTTATACATTAGGGTATGTTTTGTCTGATAAATTTACGCAATGTATATTAATGGATTTTGAAAATGAAAAATAAATAAATAAATGTGTAAATATAATATGCTACCTGGATAATTAAAATATATTAATTTAGTTTTTTTTTTTTTTTTGATAATGTTAAAATAGTTCACACTGTACATTAACACGCTTTGCTTGTACAATATTTTATTTACATCGAATGACAAACTGGCATGCTGATTGGTCGACCCGCTGATTGGTTAACACGTTTTATCGCTAATCCTGATTGACAGCTCTGTTACGCAACACCGAACGCGCGTTCGCTCTCTGGGTTCGCTACTGAATTTGGGGTTCGCTTTCGGCGTTCGCTCTGGGTCCGCTGCGGGTTCGCTCTGGGTCCGCTGCGGGTTCGCTCTGGGTTCGCTATAGCGAACCCCAAGCGAACCCAAAGCGAACCCGGGGTGCACTCTGGGTTCGCTTTCTGTTAGGTTGTGTCTGGTCGGTACTGTACTCTTGCCCCTAAAGGGGGCACTATAAGTGCCCCGCATGCCACTACGCCTATGACACTATGAAATGCTGATGATGGAGAGAGAGAAAAATATAAAATTCGACCTACTGTAATTTCGAACCGAATCTGGTTTTAACCAAATCGATTTTTTTTCATTCTGAGGTAGGCCTAAGTCTCGTTCACACTTATTTTAAAATATTAAAGTGGCAATATAATTCATTAAAATGTTTTACCCCTTATTTAAACATTGAAAATCTTATAAAATAATAGAAATAAGAAACTTTGGCTGCTATGGGAATATACAGGAAAACTTTAGCAAATTCAGAATTTCAGCTACTTTGCACTTTTAAATATTTGTAGAGCCCTAAAAAGACTGAGAAAACCAAATTGATCGATCACTTACACAAAACTTTACAACTCATTGCCCCTTATGCTCTCCTCTACAGAAATTATTTGAGATGTATCTCAAAATATGTGGTAACCATGGACACATTTGGCATACAATTTATTTGCTGGAAAATCCTCAATATTTCAAGAGTAGATAAACAAATTTGAACTAAAATATTTGAGATCAAATAAATGCTATAGAAATACACATGTATTTTTATATAATAAATAGGCTTGATTGACTTTTATTTACACTCTCCAAAGAGGAGTGTCATTGTACCGGTATTTGATAGTTGGGCTTGCCCCTTACCTTGTAAAGTAAAAAAGGTATGCGCATTAATTAACTGTTTCTGTGCCATGTCTTTAAAGTTTGCATACCAGCATCGTCGGATACCCACGGATGAACTCGTCTTTTTTTTCATCACCGGGTGATGAGTGAAAGACGAGATCACCCGTGGGTATCCGACGATGGCAAATCAGTAACATTAAATAATTTTAATTCTTATAAACAATGCATAAGGAAGTATAAATATGCAGGCCCGTAGTAAACAATTTCAGTTGGGGGGGGGGCACAACCAAATATTTTCAGTTGGGGAGGAGGGCACTACCAAAAGAGGTTATTAGCATATAGTAACCCCCCCCCCCCCCCCCCGGTTACTACGGCCATGATATGTATACACGAAATGTCATCTTATGTGTAAGCATCAGCAGTTGTGATACTTCAAGAAAAATATACTACATTTGTAGTAGAGGGGAAATCAAAAAGGCCGAGGCGAACAGCTTGAAGAGCACGGGAAATGCGTGCGACAGTGTATACATATCAAGCTATCAATTTTGTGATCAACAGCGTGCTCGCGTGAATTATCTGGTTGTCGTGGGTTGTTATGACCGCTGCAACAGGTTTGTTTGTTTGTTTGCTTATTGTTGTTTAACGTCCCTCTCGAGAATTTTTCACTCATATGGAGACGCCACCACTTGCCGGTGGAGAGCTGCAAATTTTGGCCTATACTCGGCACTTAGGGCCATTTAGCAGTGAGGGGTCTTTTTCGTGCCAGCACCTTCTGCGACAGGGGACCTCGGTTTATACGGTCTCATCCAAAGGACCGGTCTCCACGTCCCACAGTGGGATTCGAACCCGCGATGTAAGGTTCAACTCCTTACTCAGTGACTCTAGAGCAAACGCTCTAACCACTGCGCCACTCGGGCGACCGCTGTAACAGGAAGGGACATTGGAGTTTGTTTCGAAGATCTAATCATGCAATCATTTAATTATTCAGTAATACACTGAAACGCGATAGTAAAGGTAAAAAAAAAAAAAATAAACATACAAATCAGTGATTGAAGTCCAAGAGTAACCCTGTAAGCATGAAATTTAGGTAAGTGGTGTTCTGATGTGCTTACTGGATTTTGTACAATACAGTGTCTGTTGAAACGAAAGAAAAATGTTTCTCGGGAAGTCGTTTTTTTTTAATTGTCTTGAGAGTTATTGTAATTATGAGCATCCAAAGTAAACAAAAGTTATTATTAATGTTTATTTAAATTCAAAGGTGGGATTTCAGCCTAATTATATACGAACTCTCTCTCTCTCTCTCTCTCTCTCAATCCGAGTCATTACTATTTTAAAAAATTATAACATTGAAGAAAAGATCAAAATTACAATATGTTGAGATAAGATTGACTTGTCAGATTAAAAGTACTGCAGATTTTTATTTTTATTATCAGAGTATAAAAGAGTGCATTTTTACGCACTTCCGGTATACCGTGAACACTATTCAAGAGTGCAATGGCGGGCAGTCCTTTTCCAGGTATTTCCACTGAATCTGAAGATTGCAAGATATGAATTATTCATAAAGAGGAGAAACTATATTTAGTTTTTTTGTGAGTATTTATGTATGTGATGTGAAATATATTACTGTTGCTTAGTTTTGCCCATGGGTTTAACTTTACGGTAAAGTTAAAGGAACATTGGCCAGTGGAAATTCATTAAAAGAATTCATTATATTATTGTTAACCAGGGTATCAAACAAAAAAAAAAATCAAACAGTAATTGCATTTTACACACTTTGGTATGCTGAACGGTATTGTCGATAAAATGGCGGCCCGTCTTTTTCCAGGCATTTCTCTGATTTTGAAGATTTCAAGATAAGAATTACTCAAAAAAGGAATAAATATATTTTAGTGAGTTTTTATAATATAACCTTGTTTTTGCATGTGCAAGTATCGTAAGAGATTAACGGATTTGCCAGTGGGCTTAACAGTAAAGTAAAACGAACAATCCTATACCAGTGACCATTTTGTTTAAAAAGACTTTTTAAATGCTAAAGTGTAGATAAAGCAAGAACTGAGCTTGTTCACTGCATTAAATAAAAACTTTAATTAAAAAATAATAAACAGGTTCAGTACAATCATTACATTTAGATATGTGACTTGAATTACCTACATAGTTTTATCAAGGTACGTGAAGTACATGTAGCCTGATTAAGCTACATGTATTAATGCAAATTTTAACAAGTCTGGTTTTTATTCAAAATTGAGAAAAATTTGCAAGTATTTCACTACAAGTATTTGTACTATGGACAGTATAGGAACCCAATGTAAAGATAGTTTAAATGTTGCTTCTTTAGTTAAACATTGCTTTTTTGAACACTTTTAAGCAAAAACTGTATTACCATTGTTTGAATAACTGTACACATCCATGTGTGGTGAGGCATGGCTAAGTACAATTTCTTCACATACATGATCAATTGTTATCAATCATCTTGTTAACCAGCATTGGCCTTCTGTGTTATTTCAATCAAAATTAAAGAAGTAATAACTGTTACATGTGTGTATATATATAGGCCTAAAACTTATAGAACTCTGCATGATATTCACCTGCTTTCTCGAAAGTGAGCAGACATTAAATCTCATTCATCTGTTAGTCTGTCCATTTGTCTGTCACAAAAACTTTAATTTTGGACATAACTTTTGAATAAGAAGAAAAAGGCTTCCATATTTCACAGGTAAATTACCTGTGACAAGTCCTTTCTAAATATACATGTACTATGATTTCTGTCCCAGTGACCTTGACATTGATGTTTGACTTACTTTTCAAAAATTTTAATAGTGGTTATAACTTTTGAAGGAGAGGAGATATGACATTCATATTTGACATGTGCATTACCTTTTAGAATATATTTTTGAACATGCTATAATTTTGACCCAGTGACCTTGAAGTTTGACCTAATTTTCAAAAAGTTTTAACATTTATGATAACTTTAAAGTGAGAAAGATGGGGTGTTCATGTTTGACAAGTGCATTACCTGTGACAAGAAGTTTCCAAATGTGCTATGATATTTGACCCAGTGACCTTGTCCTTTTAATTTGACCTAATATTCAAAAATTTTATCATTGCTGCTAACTTTTGAAAGAGAGAAGATAGGACATTCATATATGTAATACCTGTTTCACAATTTATTATGACTTTTAATCCCATGATTTTGACCTTAGAAGTTTGACCTTATTTTCAAAAAGTTTATCATTGCTGATTAACTTTTGAATGAGAGAAGATAGAGTATTTGTCTTAACATGGGTATTACCTGTTTCAAAAGCTTTCTGAATGTACTCTGGTTTTTGACATTGTGACCTTGACTTTAAAGTTTAATCTACAGTCTTATTCATTTTTTTTTCATTGGTAATAACTTGTGAAATCAGAATGAAAGAAGATAGGGCTGTTATATATTTCATGTACATTACCTATGACAATACCTTTCAGAAAGATGTTTCATTTTGACTCATGACCTTGACCTAGAAATTTGATCTACTTATGAAAAAAATCTTAACTTTGTCCATTACTTTTGCTCCAGAAGAGACAGAGCTTTTAAATATTTTTTTCACATGTGCATTACTTGTGAAAATGCCTTTTGGATTGTATCATGATATTTGACCTCAGGACCTTGATCTTAAAGTTTAATGCAGTTTTGAAAAACTTTAGTCTTTGTCATAACCTTTATTAATTCAATATTTTTTTTTTTCGTATGATGGACAGACAAAACAAGACACACAAACAAGACAGTGACAATGTGCCATAAAAATTGCATGCCACCCACTAAGATATCAAAAGCGGGGGACCACAATTCTTTGAATTTGTTTGTTGCATTTTGCTTTGACAGAGACACATCTTGGAAAGCAATTTTTTCATGCATTGTTTTCAGAAAAGTTCAAAGTTGAAAACTTTCAATGCATTAAAGTGTGATTTTATTTTACATGCTGAAAAAAAAGCTCATTTAAGAAATAAGTTTGATTTAGGACCTAAATAAAGCTATGTAGGTAATAAAACTTTTGTACATGTAGCTGTAAGGATTGTATGGGACCTGATAATGTAATGTGGTTTTATGTTGTTTATGGTGAAGCCACACTTCTGTTGGCTTTCGGTCGGTAAAGCAACTGGGATTTTAAATCAGAATCTCACAGGTTCAAGCCAAATTATGGTAAAAATTCTGTGATTTCACAAGAGTTGTTAGATTATTTTAAATAAGGTTTTTAGTTCATCCTAGAATCAAAATTATGAAATGTTAATGATATATATTAATAAATGTGCATAACCCTGTCATGGTTTTTGACGATGTCCAAAGGGTTAGAAACTCCCTAAAATTACAAATCGCAAATAATTGCGAGTACCAAGAAAGTGAACTCACAATTTTATAAGACTACTCGCAATTTTCATATCAAGTTAAATTTATATAAATTAAAAACATGTAACTTAGGCCAAACAAAAAAATATGTGTGGTTCCGGTTACACCTCCAAAAAAATTAGAGTAGGTAGGTAGGGATTTTTTTTTTTTTTTTTTTTTTTTTTTAAAACAAAATGATTTTCTTAATTTTTCTAGATAATACTTATCACTACTTTGCAAATGACATTTAGATGTGGTGTGATAATATACTAGTCAATATTGGTAGGGGACACCTACATGCTAGCTTGCTTTGGATTTAACACTAATAAACACTTGCACTATGTTGTGCAAGGGGACCGTCGTTGCTGAAACTAAAACTTAAACCGGAGCCATTGATGGAAATTGGGGAAAATTCTGGAAAAAATATGAAAATTGCCAAAAAAAAGTTTAGGGTCGGGGGTATAAAATAGGGACGGTCAGGTAACCGGAACCACACATATTTTTTTATTTGGCCTTACGGAAAAAGTAACTACTGTACAATACACAAAATACAACTACCAGTACAGTGTGACTTTTATTTAAATTACTGATTTAAATCAAAAGCATTGTGTTCTGTCATATAATTTTGCTACAGTTTCAATGCAAAAAAAAATCAACTCGCACGTTTTTGCGAGTTACCTAATCTTTAACTCACAATTTGGGAATTCTAACTCGCGTTTTGCGAGTTGTATATAGTGAATTTCGAACCCTGGATGTATTATTATCATGGATATTTTTTGTTAAGAATCAAAATTATTGCTATTCATTTTTCTGAAAGGAAATAGAATGTTTGGTGTATTTTATATTTGCTTGTTTGTTTAACATTCCTTCGAGAATTTTTCACTCATATTGAGACACCATCACTTGCCAGTGCATGGAAGGCTGCGTGCAAATTTAGACGGCCATTGAGCAGTGAGGGATCTTTTTCGTGCATGCACTTACTGCGACACGGGACCCCGGTCTATACAGTCTCATCCAAAGGACCGATCTCCGCATCACACAGTGGAATTGAATCCGCGACCAACTCTTTACTACTTACTCTAGACCAAATGCTCCAAACACTGCACCACATGGGTGACTAATGTATTTTAGATTAAACGCTACATTAAAAGACTCGGTAATTAAAAAAAAATGGAGGAACATACATATACAAAAAATCTCTCACCCCTCACTGCCCCCCCCCCCCCCCCCCCCCCCCCAAAGAAAAAACTTGCAATTGAATCTAGGTCAAAAGGTCACTCATGTAGTGTTGCTTTTTACAAGTAAATCAGTTGATTTCAGGGTATTTTGTAGTCTCCAGTATATAAAAAAATAAACATTCATAATATTCCTACATACATGTCTCCACATGTTAATCGATTATTATGGGCAAGTTATCGCATCACCTCCAAAATATATTTGTTACAGAAGGTATAAAAAAAAGTTTTATTTTGTCACAAGTTACACTGGACTTATCAGTTAAAGAAATTCACATATGCAAAACAGAACACATACAAACATTTCTAGTATCGTATTTAAAATTTTCATCAGTTCTCCACGGAAATGAAAACAATATCCTTTCATCTATATCCACTGTATGAAGGAGTAAACATGTGATGATAGGTAATAAGTATATTTTGTTAATTATGAATAAGCAAATATACATACCATTGACCAGTGGTAATTTCCACAAAGAATGACCATCTCTGTGTTCATGTTCAATTCATGTCTTCATTTTGCTTGTTGGCAGGAGATCTTAGGCTGACCCAGATCCCAGACAGAGAAAGAGTGTCTAGAATTCAACTGCAGCTGTTACCGGAAGATGCGGTAAGATTCAGACTCTACTTCTTGCACTCTTTGATGACCTTTCCATTGCCAATTGATATTGATCTTTTTTGGCCTTGACCTCTTTACTTTTAATTGACAGGATGCAGGGAACCAGGACCCATCATCAGTAGAAAGAAGAGGAGCCTATTCCGCTACCAGGAAGCCTAATAGAGAAGCTATTTTGCATTTCTTCCTTTCTGTCTCTTGTATCTCCTATCCCCTCCCTACTCTATAACATAACTAACCTTCCCCCTCCCCCCCCCCTCCCCCCCCCTTTTCCCCTTTGATGCCCTTTCCTGACCTAACTGTCTTCAGCAGCTAACTTATTTTTCAACTACTTTTCTTTTTGAATCTTTATATTTACATGAATTTTCTGTGATTTGTTGCATTGTTTAGAATGTTTACTAATCTTCTGTCAGTTGTATATTTTCAGGGACGCGGACCAGGGAAGACGCAGGAGATCCAAGACCGAGCAACAGCCGCCAACATTGGCCAAAGCGGTAAGTAAGGAGCTGCTTTTGTTGCGCTTTTGAAACCCAAGATTGAGGGTAAGCTATGAAATGTGTACATCTTGCTCTACTTCTTGCACTCTTTGATGACCTTTCCATTGCCAATTGATTTTGACCTTGTCAGACCTTGACCCCTTTACTTTTAATTGACAGGATGCAGGGAAGCAGGGCGTATCATCAGTAGGAAGAAGAGGAGCCTATTCTGATACCAGGAAGCCTAATGGAGAAGCTATTTTGCATTTCTTCCTTTCAGTCTCTTGTGCCTCCTATCCCCTCCCTGCTCAATAACATAACTAACCTTCCCCCTCCTCCCCCCCCCCTTTCCCCTCTTATGCCTTTTCCTGACCTAACTGTCTTCATCAGCTAACTTATTTTCAACTACTTTTCTTTTTGAATCTTTATATTTACATGAATTTTCTGTGATTTGTTGCATTGTTTAGAATGTTTACTAATCTTCTGTCAGTTGTATATTTTCAGGGACGCGGACCAGGGAAGACGCAGGAGATCCAAGACCGAGCAACAGCCGCCAACATTGGCCAAAGCGGTAAGTAAGGAGCTGCTTTTGTTGCGCTTTTGAAACCCAAGATTGAGGGTAAGCTATGAAATGTGTACATCTTGCTCTACTTCTTGCACTCTTTGATGACCTTTCCATTGCCAATTGATTTTGACCTTGTCAGACTTTGACCCCTTTACTTTTAATTGACAGGATGCAGGGAAGCAGGGCCCATCATCAGTAGGAAGAAGAGGAGCCTATTCCGCTACCAGGAAGCCTAATAGAGAAGCTATTTTGCATTTCTTTTTTTCAGTCTCTTGTGTCTCCTATCCCCTCCCTGCTCAATAACATAACTAACCTTCCCCCTCCTCCCCCCCTTTCCCCTCTTATGCCTTTTCCTGACCTAACTGTCTTCAGCAGCTAACTTATTTTCAACTACTTTTCTTTTTGAATCTTTATATTTACATGAATTTTTTGTGATTTGTTGCATTGTTTAGAATGTTTACTAATCTTCTGTCAGTTGTATATTTTCAGGGACGCGGACCAGGGAAGACGCAGGAGATCCAAGATCGAGCAACAGCCGCCAACATTGGCCAAAGCGGTAAGTAAGGAGCTGCTTTTGTTGCGCTTTTGAAACCCAAGACTGAGGGTAAGCTATGAAATGTGTACATCTTGCTCTACTTCTTGCTCTCTTTGATGACCTTTCCATTGCCAATTGATTTTGACCTTGTCAGACCTTGACCTCTTTACTTTTAATTGACAGGATGCAGGGAAGCAGGGCCCATTATCAGTAGAAAGAAGAGGAGCCTATTCCGCTACCAGGAAGCCTAATAGAGAAGCTATTTTGCATTTCTTCCTTTCAGTTTCTTGTGTCTCCTATCCCCTCCCTGCTCAATAACATAACTAACCTTCCCCCTCCCCCCCCCCCCCTTTTCCCCTTTGATGCCCTTTCCTGACCTAACTGTCTTCAGCAGCTAACTTATTTTTCAACAACTTTTCTTTTTTAATCTTTATATTTACATGAATTTTCTGTGATTTGTTACATTGTTTAGAATTTTTACTAATCTTCTGTCAGTTGTACATTTTCAGGGACGCGGACCAGGGAAGACGCAGGAGATCCAAGACCGAGCAACAGCCGCCAACATTGGCCAAAGCGGTAAGTAAGGAGCTGCTTTTGTTGCGCTTTTGAAACCCAAGATTGAGGGTAAGCTATGAAATGTGTACATCTTGCTCTACTTCTTGCACTCTTTGATGACCTTTCCATTGCCAATTGATTTTGACCTTGTCAGACCTTGACCCCTTTACTTTTAATTGACAGGATGCATGGAAGCAGGGCCCATCATCAGTAGAAAGAAGAGGAGCCTATTCTGCTACCAGGAAGCCTAATAGAGAAGCTATTTTGCATTTCTTCCTTTCTGTCTCTTGTGTCTCCTATCCCTCCCTACTCTATAACATAACTAACCTTCCCCCTTCCCTCCCCTCCCCCCCCCCCCCCCCCTTTTCCCCTTTGATGCCCTTTCCTGACCTAACTGTCTTCAGCAGCTAACTTATTTTTCAACAACTTTTCTTTTTGAATCTTTATATTTACATGAATTTTCTGTGATTTGTTGCATTGTTTAGAATTTTTACTAATCTTCTGTCAGTTGTATATTTTCAGGGACGCGGACCAGGGAAGACGCAGGAGATCCAAGACCGAGCAACAGCCGCCAACATTGGCCAAAGCGGTAAGTAAGGAGCTGCTTTTGTTGCGCTTTTGAAACCCAAGATTGAGGGTAAGCTATGAAATGTGTACATCTTGCTCTACTTCTTGCACTCTTTGATGACCTTTCCATTGCCAATTGATTTTGACCTTGTCAGACCTTGACCTCTTTACTTTTAATTGACAGGATGCAGGGAACCAGGACCCATCATCAGTAGAAAGAAGAGGAGCCTATTCTGCTACCAGGAAGCCTAATAGAGAAGCTATTTTGCATTTCTTCCTTTCTGTCTATTTTATCTCCTATCCCTCCCTACTCTATAACATAACTAACCTTCCCCCTCCCCTCCCCCCCCCTTTTCCCCTTTGATGCCCTTTCCTGACCTAACTGTCTTCAGCAGCTAACTTATTTTTGAACTACTTTTCTTTTTGAATCTTTATATTTACATGAATTTTCTGTGATTTGTTGCATTGTTTAGAATTTTTACTAATCTTCTGTCAGTTGTATATTTTCAGGGACGCGGACCAGGGAAGACGCAGGAGATCCAAGACCGAGCAACAGCCGCCAACATTGGCCAAAGCGGTAAGTAAGGAGCTGCTTTTGTTGCGCTTTTGAAACCCAAGATTGAGGGTAAGCTATGAAATGTGTACATCTTGCTCTACTTCTTGCACTCTTTGATGACCTTTCCATTGCCAATTGATTTTGACCTTGTCAGACCTTGACCTCTTTACTTTTAATTGACAGGATGCATGGAAGCAGGGCCCATCATCAGTAGAAAGAAGAGGAGCCTATTCTGCTACCAGGAAGCCTAATAGAGAAGCTATTTTGCATTTCTTCCTTTCTGTTGCTTGTGTCTCCTATCCCCTCCCTGCTCAATAACATAACTAACCTTCCCCCTCCCCCCCCCCCCCCCTTTTCCCCTTTGATGCCCTTTCCTGACCTAACTGTCTTCAGCAGCTAACTTATTTTTCAACAACTTTTCTTTTTGAATCTTTATATTTACATGAATTTTCTGTGATTTGTTGCATTGTTTAGAATTTTTACTAATCTTCTGTCAGTTGTACATTTTCAGGGACGCGGACCAGGGAAGACGCAGGAGATCCAAGACCGAGCAACAGCCGCCAACATTGGCCAAAGCGGTAAGTAAGGAGCTGCTTTTGTTGCGCTTTTGAAACCCAAGATTGAGGGTAAGCTATGAAATGTGTACATCTTGCTCTACTTCTTGCACTCTTTGATGACCTTTCCATTGCCAATTGATTTTGACCTTGTCAGACCTTGACCCCTTTACTTTTAATTGACAGGATGCATGGAAGCAGGGCCCATCATCAGTAGAAAGAAGAGGAGCCTATTCTGCTACCAGGAAGCCTAATAGAGAAGCTATTTTGCATTTCTTCCTTTCTGTCTCTTGTGTCTCCTATCCCTCCCTACTCTATAACATAACTAACCTTCCCCCTTCCCTCCCCTCCCCCCCCCCCCCCCTTTTCCCCTTTGATGCCCTTTCCTGACCTAACTGTCTTCAGCAGCTAACTTATTTTTCAACAACTTTTCTTTTTGAATCTTTATATTTACATGAATTTTCTGTGATTTGTTGCATTGTTTAGAGTTTTTACTAATCTTCTGTCAGTTGTATATTTTCAGGGACGCGGACCAGGGAAGACGCAGGAGATCCAAGACCGAGCAACAGCCGCCAACATTGGCCAAAGCGGTAAGTAAGGAGCTGCTTTTGTTGCGCTTTTGAAACCCAAGATTGAGGGTAAGCTATGAAATGTGTACATCTTGCTCTACTTCTTGCACTCTTTGATGACCTTTCCATTGCCAATTGATTTTGACCTTGTCAGACCTTGACCTCTACTTTTAATTGACAGGATGCAGGGATCCAGGACCCATCATCAGTAGAAAGAAGAGGAGCCTATTCCGCTACCAGGAAGCCTAATAGAGAAGCTATTTTGCACTTCTTCCTTTCTCTCTCTTGTGTCTCCTATCCCCTCCCTACTCTATAACATAACTAACCTTCCCCCCTTTTCCCCTTTGATGCCCTTTCCTGAACTAACTGTCTTCAGCAGCTAACTTATTTTTCAACTATTTTTCTTTTTGAATCTTTATATTTACATGAATTTTCTGTGATTTGTTGCATTGTTTAGAATTTTTACTAATCTTCTGTCAGTTGTATATTTTCAGGGACGCGGACCAGGGAAGACGCAGGAGATCCAAGACCGAGCAACAGCCGCCAACATTGGCCAAAGCGGTAAGTAAGGAGCTGCTTTTGTTGCGCTTTTGAAACCCAAGATTGAGGGTAAGCTATGAAATGTGTACATCTTGCTCTACTTCTTGCACTCTTTGATGACCTTTCCATTGCCAATTGATTTTGACCTTGTCAGACCTTGACCTCTACTTTTAATTGACAGGATGCAGGGATCCAGGGCCCATCATCAGTAGAAAGAAGAGGAGCCTATTCCGCTACCAGGAAGCCTAATAGAGAAGCTATTTTGCACTTCTTCCTTTCTCTCTCTTGTGTCTCCTATCCCCTCCCTACTCTATAACATAACTAACCTTCCCCCTTCCCTCCCCTCCCCCCCCCCTTTTCCCCTTTGATGCCCTTTCCTGACCTAACTGTCTTCAGCAGCTTACTTATTTTTCAACAACTTTTCTTTTTGAATCTTTATATTTACATGAATTTTCTGTGATTTGTTGCATTGTTTAGAGTTTTTACTAATCTTCTGTCAGTTGTATATTTTCAGGGACGCGGACCAGGGAAGACGCAGGAGATCCAAGACCGAGCAACAGCCGCCAACATTGGCCAAAGCGGTAAGTAAGGAGCTGCTTTTGTTGCGCTTTTGAAACCCAAGATTGAGGGTAAGCTATGAAATGTGTACATCTTGCTCTACTTCTTGCACTCTTTGATGACCTTTCCATTGCCAATTGATTTTGACCTTGTCAGACCTTGACCTCTTTACTTTTAATTGACAGGATGCAGGGATCCAGGACCCATCATCAGTAGAAAGAAGAGGAGCCTATTCCGCTACCAGGAAGCCTAATAGAGAAGCTATTTTGCATTTCTTCCTTTCTGTCTCTTGTGTCTCCTATCCCCTCCCTACTCTATGACATAACTAACCTTCCCCCTCCCCTCCCCCCCCCTTTTCCCCTTTGATGCCCTTTCCTGACCTAACTGTCTTCAGCAGCTTACTTATTTTTCAACAACTTTTCTTTTTGAATCTTTATATTTACATGAATTTTCTGTGATTTGTTGCATTGTTTAGAATTTTTACTAATCTTCTGTCAGTTGTGTATTTTCAGGGACGCAGACAAGGGAAGACGCAGGAGATCCAAGACCGAGCAACGGCCGCCAACATTGGCCAAAGCGGTAAGTAAGGAGCTGCTTTTGTTGCGCTTTTGAAACCCAAGATTGAGGGTAAGCTATGAAATGTGTACATCTTGCTCTACTTCTTGCACTCTTTGATGACCTTTCCATTGCCAATTGATTTTGACCTTGTCAGACCTTGACCTCTACTTTTAATTGACAGGATGCAGGGATCCAGGGCCCATCATCAGTAGAAAGAAGAGGAGCCTATTCCGCTACCAGGAAGCCTAATAGAGAAGCTATTTTGCATTTCTTCCTTTCTGTCTCTTTTATCTCCTATCCCCTCCCTGCTCTATAACATAACTAACCTTCCCCCCTTTTCCCCTTTGATGCCCTTTCCTGACCTAACTGTCTTCAGCAGCTAACTTATTTTTCAACTACTTTTCTTTTTGAATCTTTATACCGGTATTTACATGAATTTTCTGTGATTTGTTGCATTGTTTAGAATTTTTACTAATCTTCTGTCAGTTGTGTATTTTCAGGGACGCAGACCAGGGAAGACGCAGGAGATCCAAGACCGAGCAACAGCCGCCAACATTGGCCAAAGCGGTAAGTAAGGAGCTGCTTTTGTTGCGCTTTTGAAACCCAAGATTGAGGGTAAGCTATGAAATGTGTACATCTTGCTCTACTTCTTGCACTCTTTGATGACCTTTCCATTGCCAATTGATTTTGACCTTGTCAGACCTTGACCTCTACTTTTAATTGACAGGATGCAGGGATCCAGGGCCCATCATCAGTAAAAAGAAGAGGAGCCTATTCCGCTACCAGGAAGCCTAATAGAGAAGCTATTCTGCATTTCTTCCTTTCTGTCTCTTGTGCCTCCTATCCCCTCCCTACTTTTTATCATAACTAACCTTCCCCCTCCCCTCCCCCCCCTTTCCCCTTTGATGCCCTTTCCTGACCTAACTGTCTTCAGCAGCGAACTTATTTTTCAACAACTTTTCTTTTTGAATCTTTATATTTACATGAATTTTCTGTGATTTGTTGCATTGTTTAGAATTTTTACTAATCTTCTGTCAGTTGTATATTTCAGGGACGCGGACCAGGGAAGACGCAGGAGATCCAAGACCGAGCAACAGCCGCCAACATTGGCCAAAGCGGTAAGTAAGGAGCTGCTTTTGTTGCGCTTTTGAAACCCAAGATTGAGGGTAAGCTATGAAATGTGTACATCTTGCTCTACTTCTTGCACTCTTTGATGACCTTTCCATTGCCAATTGATTTTGACCTTGTCAGACCTTGACCTCTTTACTTTTAATTGACAGGATGCAGGGAACCAGGACCCATCATCTGTAGAAAGAAGAGGAGCCTATTCCGCTACCAGGAAGCCTAATAGAGAAGCTATTTTGCATTTCTTCCTTTCTGTCTCTTGTGTCTCCTATCCCCTCCCTACTCTATGACATAACTAACCTTCCCCCTCCCCTCCCCCCCCCTTTTCCCCTTTGATGCCCTTTCCTGACCTAACTGTCTTCAGCAGCTAACTTATTTTTCAACAACTTTTCTTTTTGAATCTTTATATTTACATGAATTTTCTGTGATTTGTTGCATTGTTTAGAATTTTTACTAATCTTCTGTCAGTTGTGTATTTTCAGGGACGCAGACAAGGGAAGACGCAGGAGATCCAAGACCGAGCAACGGCCGCCAACATTGGCCAAAGCGGTAAGTAAGGAGCTGCTTTTGTTGCGCTTTTGAAACCCAAGATTGAGGGTAAGCTATGAAATGTGTACATCTTGCTCTACTTCTTGCACTCTTTGATGACCTTTCCATTGCCAATTGATTTTGACCTTGTCAGACCTTGACCTCTACTTTTAATTGACAGGATGCAGGGATCCAGGGCCCATCATCAGTAGAAAGAAGAGGAGCCTATTCCGCTACCAGGAAGCCTAATAGAGAAGCTATTTTGCATTTCTTCCTTTCTGTCTCTTTTATCTCCTATCCCCTCCCTGCTCTATAACATAACTAACCTTCCCCCCTTTTCCCCTTTGATGCCCTTTCCTGACCTAACTGTCTTCAGCAGCTAACTTATTTTTCAACTACTTTTCTTTTTGAATCTTTATACCGGTATTTACATGAATTTTCTGTGATTTGTTGCATTGTTTAGAATTTTTACTAATCTTCTGTCAGTTGTGTATTTTCAGGGACGCAGACCAGGGAAGACGCAGGAGATCCAAGACCGAGCAACAGCCGCCAACATTGGCCAAAGCGGTAAGTAAGGAGCTGCTTTTGTTGCGCTTTTGAAACCCAAGATTGAGGGTAAGCTATGAAATGTGTACATCTTGCTCTACTTCTTGCACTCTTTGATGACCTTTCCATTGCCAATTGATTTTGACCTTGTCAGACCTTGACCTCTACTTTTAATTGACAGGATGCAGGGATCCAGGGCCCATCATCAGTAAAAAGAAGAGGAGCCTATTCCGCTACCAGGAAGCCTAATAGAGAAGCTATTCTGCATTTCTTCCTTTCTGTCTCTTGTGCCTCCTATCCCCTCCCTACTTTTTATCATAACTAACCTTCCCCCTCCCCTCCCCCCCCTTTCCCCTTTGATGCCCTTTCCTGACCTAACTGTCTTCAGCAGCGAACTTATTTTTCAACAACTTTTCTTTTTGAATCTTTATATTTACATGAATTTTCTGTGATTTGTTGCATTGTTTAGAATTTTTACTAATCTTCTGTCAGTTGTATATTTTGAGGGACGCAGACCAGGGAAGACGCAGGAGATCCAAGACCGAGCAACAGCCGCCAACATAGGCCAAAGCGGTAAGTAAGGAGCTGCTTTTGTTGCGCTTTTGAAACCCAAGATTGAGGGTAAGCTATGAAATGTGTACATCTTGCTCTACTTCTTGCACTCTTTGATGACCTTACCATTGCCAATTGATTTTGACCTTGTCAGACCTTGACCTCTTTACTTTTAATTGACAGGATGCAGGGAAGCAGGGCCCATCATCAGTAGAAAGAAGAGGAGCCTATTCCCCTACCAGGAAGCCTAATAGAAAAGCTATTTTGCATTTCTTCCTTTCTGTCCCTTGTGTCTCCTATCCCCTCCCTACTCTATAACATAACTAACCTTCCCCCTCCCCTCCCCCCCCCCCCCCCCTTTCCCCTTTTGATGCCCTTTCCTGACCTAACTGTCTTCAGCAGCTAACTTATTTTTCAACTACTTTTCTTTTTGAATCTTTATATTTACATGAATTTTCTGTGATTTGTTGCATTGTTTAGAATTTTTACTAATCTTCTGTCAGTTGTATATTTTCAGGGACGCGGACCAGGGAAGACGCAGGAGATCCAAGACCGAGCAACAGCAGCCAACATTGGCCAAAGCGGTAAGTAAGGAGCTGCTTTTGTTGCGCTTTTGAAACCCAAGATTGAGGGTAAGCTATGAAATGTGTACATCTTGCTCTCGTCTGTTGACTGTGGTTACTCTGTCTTGAGGAAGCCTTACTTTTGCTTTGACCTGTAGACATCTTTGTTAACAGGTACAGGGTTAGGCTGGTGTGGTTCTGCAGAAGGAGCAGTCGGTAACCTGCCAGCTGGAGTTCAGCGATGGACTGTGGCCAATCCAAGACGCCAGGGTAAGACGCATTGTGCACCTCCTGCAATCTCCTCTGCACTTTTTCTGTGTCTGGGTTCAAGAAATCTTTTGCAAGTTACTGAGCATTTGACTGTTTCTGACAACAGGTGGAAGCTTAGGCTGTGCTGGATCTAGAGGTGAAGAGGAAAGCATCAGACAGAAGAAGCGTCCACTGCAGCCAACCCCCGAAGTGAGAGTAAGATTGAAACTTGACTTTCTCTTTGCACGTGCACTTTGTTTGCACTTGTATGACTCCTTTTCACTTAGTATGAAGTGTATGTGTTACCTTGATGTCTTGGTTTTGCTTTGTTGACAGAGGAGGAGATTAAGGCTGAGCAGAATCCCACAGTAAGAGAGAGTGTCTTCAATGCAACTGCAGACTTCACCAGAAGATGCGGTAAGATTCAGACTCTACTTCTTGACCGTTTCATAACCATTTTCCAATTGATGTTGACCTTGTCAGGCCTTAACCTGTTTACTTCCAATTCAGATGATGCAAGTAATCATCGCCAATTTCACTTTTTTAGGATTGCAACCTGTATGATCACTTGTCTTTCTGTCCTTTAAAAAGCAATTAAAGCAGCTAGGGATCACTTTGGGATATGCCTTTGCACACCACTTGTAAATGAGGCATTGTTTAAATTGGGTTGGGGGTCAGTCTGAACATGTTTTAATCTTATGCCAGTATCACATGTATTAGTGTGGGCCCCTAATTTTATTCATTTTGACTAATTGGAACATAAATGAATTCCACCATAACCAATTGGTATCAAAATTTTATTTTCCTCCATAGCATATGGTTGAATGCGACTTCAGTTACTTGGAATACATGTACTCTGTGAAGAACACCTGTATACTGCTTGTATAATCGTTGTGGCTTGATTATGTGAATTTCACTCGAGTAGATGATCGAAAGGGTTAGTTATGTACATGTACATGACACCGGTGACTTCAGTATCTTGACTTCTAACAATTTATTACATATATCAGTAATTTACTCAATTTTCTTGACATTGCCAACTTAATTTGGGGTGCAAATACATGGTTGTTGAAACTAACCAAACAATATGATAATGATATTTTTATACCCCCCGCAAACGAAGTTTAGGGGGATATATTGGAATCACCATGTCCGTCTGTCTGTCCGTCTGTCTGTCCGTCTGTCTGTAGACAAGATTTTGTCCAGGCCGTTTCTTGGAAACTATTGCAAGGATTTGTCTGAAAATTTGTACACTTATTATTCACCATATGAAGGTGTGCACCTGGTTTTTTCATCATGATTGGATAATTTTTCTGCATTTTACAGGTCTTTTTTTCATTTTTATTGTGTGGTTTTGTCCGGACCTGTTCTCAGAGGCTATTGCATAGATTTGTATGAAAATTTGTGCACTCATTATTTACCATATGAAGATGTACACCTGGTATTTTCAACATTATTTGATAATTTTTCTGCATTTTACAGATGTTTTTTTTTTCATTTTTATTGAAAAAGTCATTATGGGTTTATAAATGTCTTAGGTTTGAGACATAGAATCTAGAACATCTGAAGTGTACAAAAATGTGAACTACAGCTTAAAGCTACTCATTAAAACTGAAAAAAACATCACCAGGTATTAAAAACAGTTTTTACATTACACAGCAGATAGTGTAAATCCATTTGTCCCTTGGGAGTAATGAGTGGACATGCATCCAGTTAAAGATTAATTAATGAGTTCAGTGTGGGAAGCTGTTAAGGCATCTCTGATCAAGCAGGTCTTATCTATATCTCCTGGGAATTGGGCAGAAAGAAATAAAGATCTCTGTTGTCTAAGTCTCTTAATTGTAATTTATGTCTGTCAAAATACATAGTTACTGGAACCAGCCTTTTATTTTTAAAATGAGTTTGATATAAAGGTATTAAGATCAATTTGATTTTGTATAATTAATTATCATGATATTTTTTTTTCAACAATCAATTTGCAGAGTGTCATGTCTCACAAAGATGACAGATAGTTGCAAACTATTTCTTCAATGTAATAAAAAAACACTGTAATTATTAGTATTGATGTCTTATTAGGCTGCACCTTAATTTCATTCATGAAAAAAAATATAATGAGTAATTAAATTTTCACTCTAAATGTTAAAGCAAATTGTGAACACCTCTCACATCTAGAGAACATTAGTGATTTGGTACCTTCTCTGAAAAACCCAGCGGGGGGTATTTGTCCCTTTCGGACAGTTCTAGTTTAAACAAACTTGATATGTGAGTTGTGAAAGGGGAATGTTTTTGGTAGGTTTAGGTATTTACAAATGCTGACTAAATTTGTAAATATTTCTTTTAATTTTTTTTTTTCTAACCTACTTCAATTTAAGAATTGAATAGAAACTGAGTGGGATTAAATGTGACATGATGCAATAAAAATCTTTTTATATGCAAAGTGTGTATATTAACTATCATTTGATTTCTTTTCTAAATCATTTTATTGACATGTCCTGAAGATTTTAAGAATGTGCTATAGATTTTAATATTATTTGACATTTTGCAAAACATACTTTTCAGTTGATTAAATTATGCTCTTTTGCCGACTCTAGAAAGAGTTGAAAATTGACTAAATGCTATTCTGTTCATCAAATAGTTGTCAGGAGTATTTAATTTTTAGCTCTACTGGTCAGGGACCAGAAGAGCTTATGCGATAGTAAGATGTCCGTCGTCCGTCCATCTGTCTAGCTGTCTGTCTGTCTGTCTGTCCGTCTGTCTGTAAACAATTTTTCAAAACACTACTCCTCCTACAGTTTTGGTATGATTTCAATATAACTTGGTACACAAGTAGACTATACTAAGATACATTATTCTGTGTATTGGTTTTTGTTTTCAATGAACGGTGTTGCCATGGTTACTAAAAATAGAAATTTCTGTGAAAAACATTCAAAATGCTACTCCTCCTACAGTTTTGATCTGATTTCAGTATAACTTGGTACACAAGTAGACTATACTAAGATACATAATTCTGTTTATCGGTTTTGGATTTCAATGAACGGTGTTGCCAGGTTACTAGAAATAGAAATTTCTGTGAAAAACATTCAAAACGCTACTCCTCCTACAGTTTTGATCTGATTTCAATATAACTTGGCACACAAGTAGACTATAATAAGATACATAATTCTGTGTATCCGTTTTTCAATGAACGATGTTGCCATGGTTACTAAAAATAGAAATTTCTGTGAAAAACATTCAAAACGCTACTCCTCCTACAGTTTTGATCTGATTTCAATATAACTTGGCACACAAGTAGACTATAATAAGATACATAATTCTTTTTATCAGTTTTTGATTTCAGTGAATGGTGTTGCCATGGTTACTAAAAATGAGATTTCTGGGAAATACTTTCAAAACGCTATTCCTCCAACAGTTTGGTTCGATTTCAGTATAACCTGGCACACAAGTAGACTTCACTAAGATACATAATTCTGTGTATCAGTTTTTGATTTCAATGAACATTGTTGCCATGGTTACTATAAATAGAGATTTCTTGGAAATACTTTCAAAATGCTACTCCTCCTACAGTTTTGATCTGAGACTAAGATACATAATTCTTATATTGGTGTTTGATTTTGATGAACGATGTTGCCATGGTTACTGAAAATAGAAATTTTTGTGAAATACTTCCAAAATGCTACTCCTCCTACAGTTTTGGTCTGATTTTAGTTTAACTTGGCACAAATGTAGACAAAAATAAGATGCATAATTCTCTTTATCAGTTTTGGATTTCAATGAACAGTGTTGCCATGGTTACTAAAAATAGAAATTTCTTGAAATACTTTCAAAATGCTACTCCTCCTTCACTTTTGATTTCAGTATAACTTGGCATACATGTACAGTACAGGCAACGCGGATCCCGTATTAGACCGCGTCCCCTCGGCGGTGTGTTAATCTTTTCCGCGTTACACCGTCGCGGGTTTTGATCGCGGTACTACCTGCGACCGTGTTTACACCGCGGCGGGGCCAGCTACCGTTTTTCTTCAACTTAGAGTTGTTACCTGTAAAGTGTTTTCGATTATTAATGGCCTACATTATAGCATGAATACTATTAAATGAATTTTTGATTTAATTTTAAGTAATAATAAATTGTATAATAATTATTTATTTCCTATGTTTTTTATTAATAGTCACTCAAAATTAGTTATTTCTCCAATTTAAAAAAAAAAGCATATATAGCTAGTGCGTGCAATAAAATTGTATGAAATATTGTCAGCTCATTTACCGTATATATTTTATTTAAAATCAATCATTCCTACATAAATTATTTTGAAATTGCTAAATAATCCACGTTATAACGGTAGCATTAAATTTTTTTTTTATGTCATCGTTTCCTAATTAATGCATTAAAATGCGGGGTCCACGATTAGCCCGTGCAGTTGCGTTCTCAGTTACATGTAGCTAATGCGTTTATTTTTCTGTGAGATTTGAGCCTTTGGTTTCTTTAAAAAAATGCCTTTGTATATATATATATATATATATATATATATATATATATATATATATATATATATATATATATATATATATATATATATCGGATATTATTAGAATGAAAAACGATGATAGAGATGTTAACAGTATTAAACACGTGTACATTTAGGAATATATGTTGCACCATTAACTGCTAATAATATGCGCTAAACATGTAAGACTGTAAATTAAAGTTGTATCAACATTTAATTTTTTTTTTATTATTGTTGTTTATAAAATCATAACATCCTATCTATTCAGGATAATTTCCTAGCTAGTTTTTCCATTTTCTTTCTTTTTGAAATTAATATGATCATGCTCATCAGTATTTTCATTTACAAGCATCGTCAAATCGGAAAGAGCCTCTTTTATCAGCTGACTTGGGGCCCTAAAATAATTTGAACATACAACACACAAGAAAAAAATTATTATTTTCAGAGACAAAATGTATCATAGCGATAGGTTACGAGTTTTCAGGTGTCTGTGTAACTGGCCAAAACCCCAACGAGATACCTGTAATACCTTCAGATTGCGTAATCTTATATCGTGAAGCAATATTGGCGATCTAATAAATGTCTTGGAAGCAGTTAGTTTAGTAAAATAGTGTCTGTGGCTGTCACTATTTCGGTGTTTTTCAGAAACTCGATCGCAGAATTAGTCAAAGTCCACAACTGGACAATAAACTGATAAATCGGCTACAGTATATTATCTGTTCACAAAAACGATATATTGAAACTGAAAAAAAAAAAAATCCAGAAGCAATTCATTTCATTGAAATTCTATCATGAATATTTTGTTTTAATCGATGGACTCGATAAATCAATTTAACTGACTGAAGGAAAAACGATGCACGTGCCGTAACATTCTGTACGGTTTTTTTTTAAATTTACATTCCACTTGCATAATACATGCACATGTACTTATATACATGTATTAAACAGAAACATAAATACCAAGCCCGTCGGCATTTAAAAAAATAGTAATAAAACATAATTTGATTTGATTTATTTTTTATTTCATTTAAACTCTATTAATTTGTTTTAAAAGTTTGATTG